AAGATCTTCTACCCAGTTTGTTTGCCATACTCAAAGGTATTTCCTAGCAAAAGGCTACTTGGGCAAGTAGGTGAGGCAGAGAAACTGGAAAGACTCAGCCCTTAATGGTAAATCTCTCGCCCCAAGCTAGGAGGACTATAAGTCCTGTACATAGCATTAACAGAGGTGTTGATCAAACAAAATGCATAACCCTAGTCAGTTACAGGCACAAATGTGGAAAGCTTAGTGATTTAACTGTGTTTCTGGTTGCTTATCTGAGGTTGTTGAATGTCTTGTTAAGTCTCACAATCTCAGAATTAAACCTCAGAATTAACCAGCATTCTTCTGGGGAAAGCTTGACTAGAAATCAATTTTTAGTGTAGGCCTTGTTTTACACGTGTTTGCAGCTGAAATGCAGCACAAGTTTTGAGACCTTTCAGCAGCTGTATCTGGCCTGTGGCGGAGAATGCGAGTGGCTGGCAGCATCCACAAATCTGTAAATGGCTGCTGATAATGTTTTTGTACAAACTGACTGGCAAGCTTTGCTTTTTTAAAAACGAGTCCTGTCATCTTGGGTATTGCTTGTGAATGCCAATCGCTTATAGTATACAGTCCCGTTACACACCCCACAAGTAGTGTCAAATGCTTGGATTTCTTAATATAAATTCTGCCTGTTTGTTAGGTCACTAACCCTGCTCCCCTTTCCGAGTGCCTCTCACACAGCTCCTGTGAGTCTTGCCTCTGCTTAATCACACCGCTACTAGATGAAACAAAGCACATGGTAGAAGTAGCGTTGAAAGACATTGTAGTTCAGTTTTCACCCAGCAGAGGGAAATCCTCAAAAAGGTCGTCCAGACTGTGCCATTCCCACATGGGGGGGGGGGGGGGTGGGAACCCTAGGCTGCAGCCCTTAGCACAGTATGAAGAAAGTCCAGCTGGAAGCAGCGGGGTATGTCTGAACAAACACGGTTAGGATTTTACTGCTTGTCAGAAGTCCTACTTCTAGCGGAATACCTCAGAATTGCAGTTGATGGGGGGTTGCAGGCACTCAGACGTACCAGCTGCTGAGCCCTACAGGCGACCATCATCCCATTTGGAAAAAGCTGTCCTGATCCTCTGCTACAATGCATGTTTTGCACTCTGCTGC